CCCCAAAACCCCAAAACCCCAAAACCCCAAAACCCCACATGAGCAGGATAGAGTTGAAATAATAATTTATGTTAAATATGAAAAGCCAAAAAGTTGCATTATCAGGAGCATCCCCTAACTCTTACATTGAGCAATCTGATTTTAAAGAAAGTATCTTCTTTATTGAAGATGAAGATAATAGAGAAACCAATGGCTGTCCCAAAAATGATACAAGAGATATGGAGATTAAGGGCGAGTGCACAACAATGGCTACTTCTTTTATTCATGATCTTGACACTATTCATGAAGAAGAGAGCCAACTTGAGAATGGATCTGATAGTGGTTCATTGGGGTTTAGTACTTTTGGAAATGAAAGAGAGATTGAGAACTCGAATGCTTATTCACAGAGCAAAACCCGAGATCACACAAAAAGACTTATGAACCAATTTTGAGCCACTAAGCCAAGTGGTAAAAAATTCTCTGAGAGTCATGCTTTGTCTTCTAAAATGGCTCTGGCTTGGAGAAAAGCAATCTCTAGAAGCCCAAAAAATTAGGACTAAATGCTCGGAATAACTTAATTAATCTAAAATCTAATAATTTTTGACAGAAAACAGTTTTAATATGATAATCTCCTGAAACCTATTAGAACATTTCTATCTATGGTATTCTGAATCTTATTTACAAAAAACTTTCAAGACTCTTTTTCTTGGTGAGGATCTTTCTAAAACTTTAAAACTAACACTTCAAAAATTTCTAGAGAGTTTGGGAGGATATTTAGCTTAAGCTAACGAGTTTAAAAAACAGCAGTGCAACCAAATTCTCAGTCCTTTACTAGAATAAGTTTACAAATAATAATTCAATTGAAATAAAAAATTGTCTATTCTGACAATAATCTTTCTAGCGGCCCAACTTGATGGCTCTTAAGCACAAGATCCACTAAACTATGAATTCTTGGCAAAAATTCCCACCATGTTACTCATTTGTTCCGGTACTCTTTTGCTATAACTAAGATTCTGTATAAAAAATAGGACTTATTCACCAATAAATCAGGCAAGTCTGCGATTATAAGCGATTTATTATTAAATTACTTTCTTGAATTAAAGTGTCAAAACTCTGACAAATTGGAAGGATTTTGATGCACACATCTTGAGATTCCCCACTGCTTCTGAAAACTATTATCTATTATTTTATGAACTGCCACAAAACTAACCAATGCTCTAAAGATCAGTGCCGTTGGTAGGGATTATATAAAATGTCATTTATCCTATAGGAATCCTTAAAATTCTTTTTGATTTATAATGATTGTGCTTTTTACTTTTTCCAAGATTAAGAGAATCAATTTTCCGTAACTAATCATTCACAATAACACCTATAAAAACTGCCTATATGTGACAATGTGATTAATATTATTAACGCCATATAGCTTGACGGTCTCTTCTAGTTAAGTTACAGAGGCACTGAATATTTTAACAACAGAGTGGTCTTCACTAATTCTATTTGCTAATTCTACAAATTATCTAAAATATGGTTACTCTCGTTTAAAATGCTGATATTTTAGCCCTATTTCTTCAGAATCAAACAGTAAATTTATTACAAGCCTGTTGGTAAGTTTCACAGTTATTGCTACTTGTAGAGTATGACTTCCCCCTAAAAAGGTGGAAATTTTGATCCCTAAATGGTCAGAAATCTCTTCTCATAGAACTATGAAGAAACCCTGACTCTAGAGGCTATCCATTAAATACCCATATCCATTTTATTTGAAAAAAGTGGTTCAACACAATATTGAATTAGTGGGGTTTTGGGGTTTTGGGGTTTTGGGG